GCGGCTCAGGTCTGGCAAACAATTGAGGTATACTTTGCCTCACAAATTCGTGCTAAGAAATCTCAGTTCAAGACTCAATTGCAAAATGTTCGAAAAGATTCTTTAACTGTGAATGAATACTTGCTTCGAATTCGGTATTTTGTTGATATGCTTGCTTTAGTTGGACATGTAATTGCTCACAAGGATCATATTGATGCAATCTTTAATGGCTTACCTCCTGAATACGATATTTTAGAAATCAGTGTGAACTCTGGATTTGGTGAACATTCAGTTGAGGAAATTGAGTCTCTAATTTTGGCTCAAGAAGTTCGAATTGAAAGGGCTGTTAAGATAAGTGATGGCTCTAACTTAGCTAGTAATCTCACTTCTGCCAATCTTGCCATGGCTGGTGGTACATCCCATTCTCACTCGAGATTTTGGGGTTCTGGTTTTGAGGGTTTCAACTCCAGTTACTCTCCTCATACTTCTTCTTCTCATGGAAGTTATAATGGAAGTTTCTCTCCATTTTCTGACCACTCCTTTGGTGGATTTTCTTCTAGACAAAATTCATTCTCTGGAAATTCTAACAGCAGCAGCAGGGGAAAGTTTAGTGGTCGTGGCCGTGGAAATGTTTGGAACAAGAACAAGGTCCAATGTCAACTATGTGGAAAAACATGACATATGGTGATGCAGTGCTATTATCGTTTTGACAAATCTTTTACAGGCCCTTCTCAGTTCAACCATCAACTTCAGGGTAATCTTGCTCAATGTCAAAGTACCTCGATTGATTCAGCTCAGATGGGAGCTATGCTTGCTGCTCCTGAAGCTATAACCGACTCAGCATGGTATCTAGATGTATCCTTTAACATGGAGTGGTATCCTGATTCTGGTGCTACAAACCACTTGACAGCAGATCCTTCCAATCTCATGTCAAGTTTAGAATTTTATGGACCTGATTAGGTGCACATGGGTAATGGTAAGGGACTGACTATTACACGCATTGGCTCTTTTGCTTTTTCTAGTCCTTTTGTTTCTTCTAAATCTCTAGCTCTCAAACACTTATTACTTGTCCCTGAAATTCGTAAAAATCTATTGAGTGTTTCAAAATTTGCGGCTGATAATCAAGTTTTCTTTGAATTTCACCCTACTTCCTGTTTTGTTAAGGATTCAACTTAAAACGAAGTGTTGCGTCTTAAGGATGGTCTCTATGTTTTTGACAACTCCCAGCTCAATCTCAAGTCGTTGGATTCAATTGTCTCTCAACCTTCTTCTATATCTTGTTCTTCTGTTTCCAGCAATTTAAATTCCTTTATTCCTGTTATGCATGCTTGTTCTAGCACTGTTCATAGTCCACTGCTTTTGAGCTTTGACATAATAGGCTAGGTCATCCATAAGATAAGATTGTACAGCATGTGTTGTCTACTTGTAATCTTTCTGCCATCAATAAAATATCTTCTACTATCTGTCAGTTGTGTTATCTTGGTAAAGTACATAAGATCTCTCAAACAACATACACTAAACCATTGCAACTTGTCTTCTCTAATT